TCTTGCTGGAGAGCACTGGCAATGCTTTATCAGACATGGCCTGCGACTGCTGCCACTGGTTCCGTACCCTCCCCTTGAGGTGCCTCTTCACCTCCTTCCCTTCTTCCCAGACCCTTGTTGCCTTCTTTTTCTGCAACTCAGGACCGTTGTCACCGCCTGGTCCTGCAATGTCAGTGCAGCTCTCCTCAAAACTGCCCTGGAAAGTATTGCCCGTCTTATTTAAGGCACTTCTGGGGGGGGCGGATACCTAATTCTTAAGCTTGTAAAACAGCCTATAATAGGAATCGCTTGCCATGTAAACACCTTACAAAACCAGACTTCAGTTCTTGCCAGCATTATGAAAATTTTAGGCATGACAAAAAATGTGGCAGAACACAGACTGAAAAAGGGAGTATGCGCCATGTGTATCAGCTACTGTGCTAACACATTCTTGCGCCGACTGCCAGCTAGTCTTACTCCAGTTTACGTGCTGCTTTTCATTCTAAATCACTAGTAAGCAGAAAAAGCCCTACATGGCTGAGTTTGCTTGTTGCTCATGCTATTCTCAGGACAGTACTTTAAATGTCATGATTCTTGTCCGATACGTAGATTAATGTGTTAAATATCATAATGTGATGTGCACCAGGATTACAAACCCAAGTGAAGTAAAGCCAAAGGCAAGGCAAAGTCAATATAAACTGAACTGAAACGTCTAATTAGTGGATTCAACGTGAACAGATCTCCCAAGTGAGGACATTACATTCTAGAGGGAATGTATTTATTGATGGGAAGATGAAGTAAACAGAGTATTAAGTGCTCTGTATTTCATGTGAATGAGTCAATAGCTTCATTAATAATGAATGCTAATTATGTCATCTCCCTTAGGTATCTGTTATGCCTTCACTTATCAATACTTTCCTTCCCGTTGGACGGTGGAATGTTAATAGTTCCAAGGAATAACATTGTGCTTTACTGAGTAAAGAGCACAGCTATTTTAGAAGAGACTTTGAACATATGTTTCTTATCAAGTTTGATTATTCTTAACAAATATGTGTAATTACAATTGCACCCATAATAATTATATGTGCAGTTGTATAACTGCATATACACAGTAATATATGTGTAACAAATGCATATTGTGTAATAATGCAAATATTGTACAAATAAAATGTATTTCTGCAATGCAACTCAGGAAGAGAGATCCTTTGGAGCAATGACTTTTCAATCAGTAACATTTCCTAACTGAACTCAGTTGTCATGAGATAGTTACAATAAGGTTATGTAAAAAGGCAAGGAAAAAAGTGTATGTGTCACCAAAGTCACCAACAGAAAAGCTCATACAAGCAAAACCTACGTGGCTGCCATCACTCACAAGGTGTTTGGCATCTTCTGAATAGCAGATACCACGTCACACATCATCCCATTGCTACTGTCAACATTGTAATTCCGTCCTCCCTGGCAACTGAAAGCAGGGGTGAAGAACTGCGGGAGCGGCAAGTTCCCGGAGGTAGTCATCTTCCACCTTCAGCAGCATCCTTATGTTGTTCATCTTCGCTGCCAAATACTAGGTGAGCGCACCACATATTTCCAGAAATGTTACTTGCCTTTGTCCTGAAGTGTTTTCCTTCTCCATTCAAGGCACCTGCTTGCCACAAGCCACTGTTCATCTGTCACGACAAAACATCACACAGAGGAGAAGCAACACCTCCGTACCTCCCGCATGAGAGACACCGGTCAGCAATTTGAGCAGCTGCACCTGCAGTTCTGCCTCTAGCCCATCTCGGTGATCTGGAAGCAATGACCTGGTTCAAGGAAGCACGCAGCTTCATTCCCACTCTACACTACTAGCAGGCCAGCGGCTTTACTCCATTTCCTCTTTCGTGGTGATGTGGAGGTGTAAAAGTGCCTGTCTTTGAATGCGAAGGTGTCCACACACTAGAGCAATGATTTTTTAAGAAGTTCTTTCAGCTCACACGTTGACCTCAGAAACAGAAGACCAGCTGCTAGGGGAGAACGCTACCCACCAGCAGCTCCAAAATTCAACGGGGTGAGCATCCCGCAGTGGAGAGGAACCCAAAGCATTATGGGATGCCAGCTGCCATAGCCACTCACACATCAGCATGAGCATCAAGCGATGTGCTCCAGCCCAGCCCGTGGATCTGGATCGACACTGCGCTGCCAAGTAAGCAGGCGTGCGCAGGTCTGTGCTGAGGACCGTGGCCGTGCAGCCTCGCTGCAGCTGGCGCTCTTTTCTCAGAGTCATAGATACTGTACTTACGCAAGCAGTCTCAGCTTTCATCTTAGCAACACCTAGCTAATTATGACCACAGGAAACCTCAGAAATACTGAACATGAAGGCTAAAAACTAGAGGAAATGCTGGGAGTCACCTATTCTACTTTTATATTCAGAGGTAGGATAAACTCCCCCGAAACTATGGCAAGTTAACTTTTTTTGGTAAAAAATATTTTTTACGGTGTCTGGTTTACAGTTTCTGAATATCTATGACTGACAGGTCTGCTCCACTATATAGCTAGTGATTAACAGCATCACTAAAAGATCTTTTCCGTGTTTAAGTAAATAACAAAGACCCAAGCCAAAGTAATTTTAAATATACCATAAAATGTTAGGAAGATTGAAAACTTCAAAGTCACTAGTGGGCCGTTCCAGTTTCTGCAAGAATCAGAAGGAATATTTCCAGTGACTTCAGTGGGATAGTTTTGTAATGACCTTCACAAGATTCAGCTCAGCGGCGTATATTTATGGGTCCATTATCCAGTTATCAATATTCAGAACTAAGTAGCCTTCTAATCTTTTGAAAGAAACCTTTTATTCAAGCAAACTGGAACTAAAAATATACTGTTCTCTCAGTGAACACAGAGAAAATATAAGGGTTTTTTTCTACATTAGTGATTAAAAAATGTAAATGAAATTGTTCAAAAGTTGAAAGTTAAAGTTCCATCTCTAATCACCTCTCAGTGGTGTCACTGAAATGACGATACAATCTAATTTACTCATTACATTTTAAATGATCTTGTTCTGTTAAGTGCTATCTTGATTTAATCAGCTGTTCCTGTAATTACATTGTGGCTCTCCCATTAGTATGTTATCAATCAGCCTCATTGAGGGCTGTACACCTCCACTATTAAAATTTTTTACAGGCTACAACTTGATGTGCAGACTTCAGGTTGGTTGGAATTTATTGCAGCTTAACTGCAAAAACAGCGGGTTAGCAACAAGGAAAGAGGTAGAAAAGTTCTATAATCTATTTTCAGACCCCTTTAATCCATTCAGACAATACTTGAGCATAATGAAATTTTACCTTTTAAAGTTAAAGCTATTTGATATTAATTGCAAAAAAAGTTGGAGCAGAAAACTGTAAATTTTGCAGGGGAGATGGTTGTATGCAGAGCAAAAGCATGTCCCGGAAAGGCTTGAGTCGCAGATTCGATCCCATGCACTTTGGAGGCTATTCTGCAGACTTACCTCCAATGACGTGCCTGCTGCAAGGCCACAGGAGATGAGCCGCTGCCTATCAAAATGGAGAGGTTAATTTTAATCTCTGAGAATTTGGATTAACAGCCCTGAAGTTATAAGCAAAGTGAGCCAACTGATACACACCACACACCCCCCGAGCTCTCTTTGAAGGTACTGAAGACAATGAAACTCGAGCAATGCCTTGGACGTACACTGTTTCTGGTGTCTGACTGTGTTCTCTCTCACTTGTTTGGTTGTTTTTTAAAGCACGCACCTGAAATGCCAGTGTGATTGCGTTGTGTGGCACATTGAGCCTGGTTACAGCTTAGAACAGCAAACTCTGAAACTCTGTAGTGCCATTTACACACATAACAATAACAAAATACTCTGAATAAAAATGAGGGAAGTTCTAGACCACGTAACACTTAAATAAGCTGTATAAAGGATGAGTATGTAACCCTATAGCTAGCTTCTTGGTGGTGTGTGCTTGCGCTATTTCGCGCAACATTTTCACAGTGTCTTCTTCCTGGTTTACTTTTTTTATACTTTGTAAGGCAGACTCTAACATATATTAAAGTAGTCATATAACATGAGTGCACACGTTAGGAATGCATGGAAGAATGGAGTGATAGGGGCATATGCTTCCATTAAACACTTGCGTGCACACACTTCGCATTTGCAAGTCCTGGACTTAGAAGGAGAAACTTTTTCTCTCCTTGTTAGAGGAATGTCAGATTTTTCTCCAATTTAATATCAAATATCACAGACACATGCTCTGATAAGCAGTGTAGTAACTTTTTTAATAATACAACAATACATGAAATTAAGTGATAATGAGCAGTCGGAGAGAAAGGAGCGCAGTTGGGAGTGAAAGTTGATGTCGAACCAGCCACAGACACATGCTCTGATAAGCAGTGTAGTAACTTTTTTAATAATACAACAACACATGAAATTAATTGTTTAAGTGATAATGAGCAGTCGGAGAGAAAGGAGCGCAGTTGGGAGTGAAAGTTGATGTCGAACCAGCAGAGGGAGCTCCAAAATCTGAATTCTTTTTTGCAGCGAGAAACGACCTTGGGAGCCGACTGTTGGGAAAAATACTCGTCGGTCACTGAACACGGTGGCTGACTGCACTGCTCCTTCCCTGGTCCCAGGAATCACAACAGCAAAATGGTGTCTTTGGGGAGGAGTACTCTCCTGACATGCTTAAAATATAATTTAAAAGGTCTTTGTAGTACCCCTGTTCGTTGGAAGAAATAATCGCAGTATAATTGTAAGATCTTCCACCTACCAAATGCTATGCTAAACTCTTTCTTAATATATTACATGTCTGCACTGTTGCCCTTATTACCTGGATCCATTGCACTTAACACTAAGCCATGATGAAGAGCCAGACTCTGACATTAAATGCTCTCTTTCAAACTGAGACATACAATATCTCAACAGAGTGCCCTGGCCTGGATCACAGCAGTTTTCTTACTTTTAGAATTAGTTCCCATATGATGGGTGCCAGGACACTGAAGGGACAGGGAGCACGGAGTCAGCTATGGAGTGCTTTCTTCATGATCAGGCCAGCAAACTTGATATGCCTCAGCAGTCCTCCCTGGCATGGACTCACACAGACCTGGACCTGGCATTGCACCTTCCTCAGCTGAGGGTAAGAAACTGCCCTGGCCAAGGAGAAATGTTACTGGAAATCATTTCACTGTCAAAATCTCAGACTGAAAACCAGCACGGTTGTGGAATGAGCTGGTCAGGCGCTCTCCAAATCTCCTTGCTAAATGTAGTCATGGGCTGCTTCTACCTTTAATTATTTCTTTCAGCAAAAGGAACCGGAGAGAAATTAAATACCCTCTCAGCGCAATGTATTATCACTGAGAGCTGCACAATTGAAAGTTTCTTGTCAGCAGTGTCCGAGGCAGGGATGGCTTTGGTACTTCTCATCCTTTCCTCAGTAACATGCTTATGCATTAGCATGAGCATTAAGCTGATTAACATTAGCTTAACTGGTAGCAAACCAGGTTTGAGCTGAATGCCCTTGAAAACTCTTTCTTCTGGAGTATTATTGTGAGAGACTTTTCCTCTCTCTGTGAAACAGGGAAAAATGTTTTATTCTCATTCTCTTTTACTGATAGCAACACACAAATCTTTCTGAATTATAAACAAAGAACAGCTTTGACCAGTACTATAACACCAGTAATTAGCAATATCTGCTAAAAAGACCTTTTGGAGATTTCTCTCTCTTCTGTTTCTCTGATCTTTAGAGTGGTATTGCCAACTTCCCTGTATCATATGCATTTACTGACCCGCTTCTTTCGAATTAAGATGTGCTTTCTGTGACTGGCAACATTTGCATTTCTTTACTCCTGGTTTCTGATGCAGTATCTACCATTCCCCAGCTTTGTCCAGTGGCCCATAAATGTTTTGGCTAAGGAGACTGTTATTTAACCCTAATGCTTCCCTGCCTTTCAAATGCTTCTTTGGTGGGTGATTAAAACTTCACAGAATTCAGCCATTTTGCTCCCTCTCTCCCTTATCTAACACACCTCATAGTGATGACAGTCAACTCATCACCGAGACTGGTCTTGGACCTATGGGATTTGGGGACAGAATTATCAAGGCTTTTGTCATGCACTGATACTAGGTTTAAATTGAAACTCTAGCATCTATCTGCATAGAATCCTTGATTGCTTTTAACTTGTCAACAGTTTCTTAATCAGTAGGCCTTCACAGCTTTGTCTGCAGTTCCTCCCAACGGGCACCTCTACCTTGTTGGTTGAGCCTGGGTCTCAGGCTTTGCTGGGGACCGGCTATGCCTGCTGGTTATGGTGCTCCGAGGAGCCACGTGCTCAGGTGCAGCCCGAAGCAGGAGCGGGGCCTGGGGAGCCTGCGTGTATTTGACACTTTATCACAGGTTCCAGCCAGCTTGACATCACATCCAGGAGCCAGCCTGAGGGCGCTGCAGACCTGCCCACCAGCAGATACCTGAGCAAAGCTTGGTGCAGGTGCTTTGAGCCCAGAGTTCAGCAGTCAGTGACCATAGAGAGACTGTGGAAGCTTCATCGCTGAAGGTCTTGAAGACAAATTAAACAAATATTAGCCTGTCTTGGGGCAGAACAGTGCACCACTGGGGTCGCTCCTGAGATTCCCTTCCTCTGGCACTACGATAAGGGCAGAAAGCACGTGTCACAGGTGACTATGGAGGTAAGCCAGTGCAGATATAACTACAGGTCTTGTATCTCCTTGTGCTGCGTATTTGCCAGCAGTGTGCCTCATACAAAGTAAAGACACACCAGTTGCAGTTTTTAAACAGTTCATTGTCCATTGACTGAACAATTCCCATTCTGAGCCAAGGAACTCTGTTTCTGCTCACTGTTCAGGACTCAGGATAGCATGGTTACTTTTGAGAATGTGAATAAAATGAAGTGCTTTATTTTAAACACATGCCTCATGTATCTAAGTTAAAATTATGTTTCCAAAAGGCTTTGTTATTAGAAGTTGATAAGTGACGGATATGTTCACTTCAGGCCTCTAACTTATTTTAAAAGATGAATTTTAGAAAACAACTTATCTAGTTTATTAAGAAATTTCAGGGCTTTAATCTAAACATCATACAGCTGCTTAAAAAAAAAAATCAATAGAATCTTTACTTTTACTCCTAACGTGCTAAACTTGTATCAGTTAACCTAAACTAAGTAAAAACATTTGCTTCATGAACCCAGGGTTCCCAAACTGATATTGCTGATAGACTCTCAGTCCAATTTAATTTTGCTTCTTCATCCAAGCTACCACTGTCAGAGCCTCTTAACTGTTCTATTTGAGATGTCTAAAACAGGCAAACAATACAAGAAATATCTGGTTCCTATTACTGCCACAGAACAGCCACCCTCCCTAAGCTGAGAGTGTTTGTGATGCCAAAAAGCTAATTAGGTCAGTGTGCCAGTTTAAATTGTACAGGAGATGAGCATTAAATGTTTACTAAATTTAACTGTCTGTTTCTGGATCTGGAATGTCTGTTTGCTAGGACAGAGCAGGAGCAGACACACTGGGCTTTAAATTAATCAAAACCAGTATACTGAAATGCATGCAGAAAATGAAATGGCAATCAGAATTACAGTATTTATTGTACTATCTAAATTATAAGGCCAAGCAAAAGCTGAAGAAAGGGATGGCTTTCAGAATGGATATTCTGCAAGCATTTAGATGGCTTGTTCTGGCTGCAATTTGGAGCAACTGCCTAGATAAATGACCAAAAGAGTCATGTGAAGGAACATTTTTGAAGTGCATGCAACATGAATTTGCAGGCGTTAGCTACCTTCAGCTGTATCTAAATTATGGCACATGGGAGAACTTTCTAGGTCCTGGGTCTAGGAACATGCCCCAAAGGCATCTCATCTTTGTCCTGTTTAGACTTTAACATGGGCCATCCCTTTTCCTTAGGCCATATGCTTACTTCCATGGGGAAAATCTGGGTGCATGCCCCAGAAGGCAGCACCGCAAGCTTCTGGCAGGAACTCAGCTGTGAAATCAGGAGAGCAGGATATGCTGCAGAGCATACCTGGCCTGGAGCCTAGACACATCCTCTTTGCAACTGGGATTCACAGCCTGAAGTGTTTTTAGGTTTTTAGGTTATCAGTGTGTGCACAGGGCAACAGCTCACCTTTCTTCCAAAAGAAGTTATGCACTCCTCTTGCAACATAAGGATTAGAGTACTCCCCCATAAAGTGAGATCTTGATTAATAATATTCGTCCTTAAGATTATTATTATTCTTATACAATCACTGACATATCCACCATTATTTTTTCATTTTGGGGGAGATAAGTTTGACGCTTAACAGTGACTCGCTTTTCCTTCCCAGTATGGCTGAAGTCTGATGAGCCCACTGAGGGGCAAGTGACTGCACTAGGAACCTTCTGGTTCATGGTATTGTAAGGGGAGGTCATGGCAACCTGTTTCCTTCACTGCCACCTGTAATACCTTGAGATGTGAAAAGTTTATGCTTTCACTGTTGGCTCAGGTTGCAGAACATTCTGGTGACAAAGCTGGTGATCTTCTGGGGAGAGAACAGAGAAGAGCTTGTGAGAAAGAGACTGGAAAGGAGAAGTACCTCAAAACCAGCTGAGTTTAGTTTTAAAAGCTTGACAGAATCAGTAAGAATACCAATTGATATGCTTTTCCTGCACTAAATAAATTGATTTATTTTCTGGTACTAAAAACTGTGTATGGGCTTATTTTTCAATGGCATTGTGCAGTTTATGCTCACTGAAACAATAAGCACTGGGGAGTTGATGTAAAAATATGGTTGGAGTAAAAATAGATGTTTTTCTCTATATTCTTTCAGCTTCTTGGAACTGGATGTTTCTTAAAGTACTGGTGTGAAAGTAAACACTGCCAAAATGAAGAGGACAGCAGATATTATCTCTGTTCCACGTGAGCTAATAACCTACCCAAGGTGGACTCTCTGCTACATTTTCTTCCAAAGTACGTTCCAGACTGTGTAGTCTCTCAAGACTCGTAATCAAACAGAAGCTGCTGAAATATCACCATCCAATAGCAACTTCCTAAAAGAGCTGTTGTCACCTATTGTCACACATATTATCACATTCTTTCTGTATAATCCTTATTTCTGTTAGTCAATACCTAGTGTGCAAGCAGGTACCCTTTTCTTCCATATGTCTACAAAACAGAAAGGGAACTGATGGCAAGAAAGAAATCAATTGTTGTTGTTTAATATGACTACCGGGAACGTACCCCCGAGACATGATAAGGACAACGTCTACCACTGAACTGCACAATCTCTATTTGCCTCCTATGGCATTTCAGAGATTAACAGTGTGGGCCTCAGCTGATCTGTTAGGAGTTTGCACCGCTAACACCATCAGCAGAACTTGAAAATAAGGCATCCTTCCCATGCCACGGCCTCTCTGAAGAATGCCCAAAAAAACTTGTAAAAAAAAAAAAAAGGCAGCAAAGTAAGAGAATACAGACCCCCACACAGGCTCCTGGTTCGTTTAAAGGCCGGGCCATCAATTAAAGCTCCAGATCAGTTTCCTGTGCTATCCCACCCACAGGTTTGATTGAACAGGGCAAAATAACTACCAAAGATAGATGTAATGGAAATGGTCAGCAACAAATGAAGTGGCAGCAACAGCAAAAAATATACTTTCCAAGCAAAACTCACTGAACGAAGCTGTATGTTGACTCTACAACTTGGGGACAGGAGGTTAGGAAAAAACCCACCTGTTTGAGAACAGCAGCCCTCTGTTCCTCAGGGCTTGCTCCTGGCCGTGCTGTGGCGCTCAAGCTATGGTCTGCCCAGGCAGCTGCTGGCAGCTGCGGCCACCAGCTGTATCCAAGGGGATCCCGAGAACGGACCCAGCTCAGCAGCCGTGAAAATAGTACCCTGAAGACATGAAGCAATTGTTGGTCTGCATGCCATCAAGCTCCAGGGAAAATAAGTACTGAATAAAGAGAAGAACAATCTCTTATCTTTTGACTCACTTTATCTATCCTGTTCTTCCTATTAGATCTCTCTCTCCTCCTGTGATTAATTCTCAATGTGGTATTTTTAATAGTTGTATATTTCATTTGCATTTGATACTTAAAGAGGGAGGAAGGATAAAAGGATGAAACTCCTAGAATTAATGCACATTGAC